ATGGGTTGAGAAATGTGCAACATTCCAATAATTTCAACTGGACCACTGCATTGACTGACAGCTGCACCTCTTTAAACAGGTTCCTGTAAGGTGTGTAAGGAACACAAGCAACACAGGCAAGCCTCGAAACCTTTGAAATCCAAAGATGATCCACACAGAGACTGAGAGTGGGGAAAAAGCTTGTGCTTCTGTACTCTAATTATTCTTTGGCTTATAACTTGGCATCTGTGAAGAGATAACATCTGCTTTATAAATAAATCAAATACATTATTGAAACAGTTGGCTGACACAGCCTTCCATTTCCTGAAGAACTGAAAAATAAATGTGATATCATTCCCATCTCAGACTCTTGGTCAGTACCAGTCAGTACCATGTTTTAGGTTTGGTGGTGGTGATTGGTGGGCTGCAGTTAACATTTGTGTATTTCACTTCACTGTCAGGCGTGCCGTTAATAATGGCCTGGATTTGTAATGTTTGTTTATAGTGAAATTCCGCTTGTTTTTTAACAATTCCTAAAGTCTACCATGTGAAAATCTTTCCTTTAGGTAGCTGTGAAATTTTGCTGAAATCCAGTCCTTTAAACATGATGCATTTCTCAACCTGGAATGATGCAACTGAAATGTAGACAGAACATACGGTAAATATGCAATTGTGTTTGATCCAGTAAAAAAAAACTTTTTTTCTATAATGACATGTCACAGATTTTTGTGGCTTCTGCTTTTCACCAAACAAACATCCTTTGATATGATAAGGGGGAAAGAAGGCTGAATGCTGTATCAATTAGCATTTCCTGATTATTATACATTGTCTTCTCTGTCCATCACATCATTTATCTCTTAGTGAAATCTCCTGTTTTTAACTTAATTCTGTGACTGGCCTCATGAATTAATAATTAAATATAAATTAAATAAATAATTTTTACTCTCTTTCCCACAATTCAGTTTATATAAAAGAGTTCCTGGGACTGGGATATGTTTGTTCTTTGTTTTCTTTTAATAAAGATGTTGCACTCAGTACTCGTAGTGACATCAAGTGGCTGAGCTGTAGAATTGCTTTGAACACCGCCAGAGACTTGTTTATATAGTGACTTTCACTTCCAACAGACAGGATGTCCTGACACTGCTGTCAGAGAAATGCATTAGACCAGCTCTTGTGGAACAGGAAGTGTTTGGCAGGCAAACAGAGCCACATTCTGTAAGACTTTTAGCTGTGTCTCCAAAATATCTTGCCCCCCCTTGCCTTTACCAGTTAGGTTTTTGAGTTTGTATCTACCAATTTGCATTATTATTATTTTTATTGTTGTTATATTTTTCAGTGTCTCCTTCATG